TACACAAAAATGGAAATTGGAAAATAATCTTAATACTATAAATGCAAATAATAATAACATTCCTAATAAAAGGTGGAAAACAAATTGAAGTGATAACCGCACAGAGAGAAAGAAAATAACGCCTTTTCCTACAAAGCATCAATACTTACAAGACAGTCTTTAAAAACTATAAATGAAAGCTTCATGACAGAAAACAGGTCTACAGGGATTCAAAACTAATGGGCCAGAGTTCATAAATACATTTTAGTCTCAATTACTACCATTAATATGAATAAATAACTTGAACAAAAGTTATACCAAAAGCTTTAAAATTATTCTGCAATATGATGATTTGTTAAGTCTATATGCCTGTTACTTGTATTTATCTCCTTACATGAGACAAACCCTTGGTCCCATGAATACAAATACAAACAGGTCACTTAAAGACAAATATAAACAATATTTTGAATAATTCATATTACAAAATGATACCTTGGCCCTAAAGCCCTTAACAGTATCCCAATATATTTGTAAACAAATTTAAAACAAGTAGATTTAGCACAAATGAGCATCTCAGAAAAATGCTGCTTTTATAAGTAAATTAAATCTTAATATTACTGGCGTTGATTTAAGTAACTTTATAAAAAAAGAGACATCTTTTTTGGTCTATGTACACTTGGTGTACTGATATGACTGGACATGGCAGTGATGTAATGACCTCTTCAAGCAGGACTGTCACAGGATGAAGAAAACAAAATCATAGTTGGCTGTTACCTTGATCTGCTGATAAATCTAAAAACCCCAAAAGATGACTAAAACACCACAGTGGAGATTTTGATTTTTTCCCATTATCATGAAGCAAGACTAGAGTGCTATAATTCTGTTTTTCAGATTCATTTTATCTGTTTTTATATTTCTCTACTGATCACGGAGACGGGCGAGTGTGAACAAAACCACAAGACATACTGTGGAACATTGGCTTTGATTTGTGGCACTCCTTGGTTGGATTTCTTTGGCTATCACTACCATTCTTTCATGTCCAGTTCCACTACGTTTAACTTTCCTTTCTTATCAATGGTACGGTACTTTGCTAAATCCTTCCTTGTTATAATGCCTTTCACCTATGGAAAAAATAAAATTAAATATGATAAGTATTGATAGTTCAGTCTTATGAGTCAATCATCAAACTGAAAAGCATCCCCTCCCCCCCCCCCAAAAAAAAAAGCTTATTTAAAAACACTACATTTTGTTTAATAATTTTCCTACATAGTAATGAAAGATACCATGGCCATAGGTTTATTGTTTTACCTAAAAACTCAAGTGAATAATCAATCTTGACATATCCTCTTAAATCTCATTAGAATAAAGTTCCAAGTCAACTATCAATAATAACAAACTTGCCATTAAAATCTTTGGTATTACCTCGTTATCATCATTAACCACTATAAGATGGCGGAGTCCCAAACCTCGAAATAAAGTGAAGACCTTGGGAAGTGACGCAATCTGGAAGAGAAACAATTTTCAAACTTAATAAATCTTAAAAGGTTGTGGAATTCAAGTTGTAAATGATTATAAAAGAATGCAATCTTTAATGAGCCGTGTAGAGAGTAAACCATTAATTACTCTTCAAATCAGTAAGACAATACAATTTCATTTTTAATTGAATTTTATATTGTTGCCTTTAAAAAATATTAAATTTTAATATTTCTTTTCATATTAGTTAAAACAATAAAACAACTTAAGGAATTCAAGAAGAAATCAAAAACAACTTCTCAGCAACACTGAATGTTGTACAAAGTAATTATTATCATTAGAATTAATATGTGAAAATGTATCATAGCAATTTTAAATTATTAAAACGTTTTATTTGTATATGAGCTACATCACCAACTGTTACAATGATTGTTTTAAATATGTGAAAATCAAACATTATAATATGATACCATTTCACATCAGTAAACAGGAAATGACCTACCTCTGCCACGCTGAAGGGAGATGGATTCATAAAAGGTTTAAGGTCAAGGACACATTCTCTCTCCTCATCTGTCAACATACTCTGGAACACACAAAGAAGAAAAAATAAAATCATGTCAACCAATGATACTCTTAAAGGCCAATAAAATAAAAATGTAAAATGTCTTTGTGTTGGAATGTCTTGCATTAAGAAAACACCAAAATTTGAGAAAAATCAAGAGTAAACTATATTGCATTTCTCCCTTTTCCCCACAAAATAAGTTGTTAATAAATTGATTTCTGTGCAATTATCTTAATAAATCAAAGGTTAGTCACTTTTAGTCAATTTTGATGTTGGTAAGGATAGTAGAGTTTCAACAGGGCCAGTAACCTGAGATGAACTGACCTACTGTATACAGCCAATGGAAAACTGAGATATTTCTAACAATTAATGATATAGATATTGGGTTGTCTGTGTTCTTAGAATGCTAAATAGTAATAAAATTCACAAGGATCTAAGCAACCAAAGTGCAACAATTCTTATATCTTATCAGAATTGTTAATTCAATGACTTAGTGGGTGCATTTAATAATAGGAAAAGGATACAATGCATACTGAAACTTTTAATTATAATGGTACATGTCTACTATTTGCTTAATACACCTGTATTAATAAAACCAAGACATGTCAATCAAAAGGAGAAAAAATATTTTCTAGTAGAGTGCTAATAGGCAACAATGTGATGTACAATAGAAATAAGGTTATTGAATTACGTAATTTTTACATAATTAAATTAAAGGTTCTAATTTGAAAAAAAAAAATGTGCTTTCATCTCTACTTTCTCATGATATCACTGAAATTTCAGGTCAAAATATATACACTTAATTTCATAATTAATTTTTTTTATTATCATAATTACCAGTTCATTCAAATTTCCACCCAGAGATTTTAATCATGCTACTGAATATATTACAGTAAATAAATAAATAAATAAATAAATAAATAAATAAATAAATAAAAAAGCAGAATGCAACTACTAATACCATGATAGTATTTTCTCAAGTACTAATAAACTCATACTTGCTAACAGGGGGTACTTGTTGCATTGTGGGCAGCATTACCAGCGCCATCTACACACTGAATAAGCCAAGTCATGTGATGCCAAACTAAAGAAAAAAGTTGGAAAAGCACACATTTGCTACATTATTTAATTAAGATGCACAACACTTCAAACATAAAGTATTTCAAACAGGTGTTACGTACTCCAAAGTGATGGTGATTAAAACTGAACAGGACACTTCATGCAGATGTAGACAATATAGCACTGTTAAAGCAGATCACTTCAATTCAAAACAATACCGGTATCTAAACCGTTTCATTTGCATTATGACAGTAAAATTAACAGGCTCAAGAAATAAAATAAGGCTTTATCTCTTAGAGTAAAAAAGTTACAAGAGAAGAAATTCACACCCCTCCAAATTTCAAAACTTGCCCACCAAATGGGTACAAGAACCACATGATCCAGAAAATGACAACTTCCAATATGCTTAGTACATGTATCATTCATTAAAGCAAAGAACTAACTACACAATTAACATCATGCAATAAAATATAATTATTCTATTCACTGAATATTGACACACTGATATCTTATCTGTTAAAAATAAGGCCAAAAGCACTTATTACAACAATATATTCATCTTACTTCCTGTGTCCATGCCAATTTAAAATATCAAAAAAACTGCCATAGATCTAAATATAAAATTTATTGAAACGGATTCAGTCCTCTTTATTTAGTTCAAACGTATGTTAATAAGCAGTTCTAGTATGCTCACTCAAAAAAGTATTTCAGGTTTATAATCCAAAAAACTGAAATGTGCACTTCAGAGTGTGAACTGAGATACCTTTGATAAATCTTCATGTAGTAATAAGCGTAAAAAGTTAAAACATAATTAAAAGCAAAAAATAGCCCACCATAACACTGAGTAACAAGGCCAAGCAGTGCAAGGGAAGCACATACCTCTACAGGAAGATTTCTAGACTTGGCATCCATGAAGTCTTGGAGACTGAATGGTTTAGGGGTAGCAACACCATTGGAAAAACTAAGGCCCTGAAAATAATTACCATTTCACAAATAAACTAAAATACTATTTATAAATATCAAGGGCCAAAAATAGGCTAAAAATGCAAATGCAAAAAGGTGACAAGCAAAGGCAGAATCTTTTTATAATTTACAAAACCTAATGATCTATTTCTTATGAACTACTAGTACAGCTATCTAAACACATTCCTTGAAGAGATATTCAATCGAAAGCTGAAACTTTTCATAGATGCCACCTGCATTGACTGGTTAATGGTCTCATTCTAAGATGAATTCAATGCAATTAATGCAACCTGTATCAGTGACAATGCATCTTAATAAGTGGCCTAAAATATAAATAACTAACTGATATTACATGCCTTTTCTCTTAGAAGATAAGTGAGCTGTGACCTGAGCATAAATCCTATCAACTTGCCGTATGTCTTAGGCTTCACCTGAAAGCACAGCAACAATCATTTTAAAACTCAGTTAAAAGAAATAAGAAAGTGTCCATTCTGAAGTTTTTTTTTTTTTAATGAAGACTTTTAATTTTAAAAAATGCAGATTCTCTCCTAAAATTTAGAGTTAAAATTATAAAAAATGTAGATTCTGTTTTAAAATTTATCATCCTGTGACCCACTGTATCTTCCTAAAAATCCTGAAGTTCTTGAGAAATCCTTGAGAAATACCTTTTCTCCATCAATAGCTTCCACAACAGGAAAACCTGAATGTCGCTTCTTACGATCTTTAAGCATGTCAATCATGGTGCCGACTTTTTCCAAAGAGTTCAAGGTCACTACACGGCGTGCCATCACATGCCTGCAATCATATCAGTTCCGTAAAGTAATGAATTATTATAAATTTCAATAAAAGGAAAAAAAGAAACAAATTTCAGCCTTCTTTTTAACTGATTTTAATTAGCAGATACAGGAGACTTAGTGTAAAAATAGTCTAAAATAAACTAAAAATGTACCAATAAACTACTTTACACTCAAAGTCAATAAAACAGTGCAATTGCACTTTGAAAAATGTGCTCATATGACCAACCCCACATAATGTTCATCTCTTAGGAAAACATAGTCCTATAGCTCGGGAACACTGCCCAGAAACAGTTTCAACATTACTCTTTCCGTATTTTAACAATCGAGCTTTAAAATATGGCAGTTTTTTTGCTCTTTTTTCACAATGTAACATTCGTGACCATGTCAAGGCTGTCTCTATATAGTGGATAAATTATTTCTTCTTTTAGCTTAACTCAAAAACTTCTTTTATTCTTGAAGCTTGTATATTTGTTTCACAAAACAAACCTTCAAATGAGCATGATATTTTATTTTTTTTCATTTATAACTCACAACAATAATCAATGAAAAACAATAAACACGTAAAAATAGAAATTCAAACAAAGTGACTAGAATTAAATATCAATATCTTTAATGTATAATGTATTAACTT